AGGAAAGAAAGGAACAGAAACACGATCGATTGGAGGCCCCGTCAAATTCGCAAACGGATCATCGTCCAGCAAAAAATCCGGAGGAGGCGAGGTCCGCGGTGAACTATAGCTGCTTATACTGAACGTAATGCTCCTCTTCCTCTGATGGTGCTCCGGCATTTGGATCATCTCTGGCGCGAGAGGTACGATAGGCGGAAGTGTGTCCATGTCCATAAGTGTCATTGATGACGTCGGATTACTTGAAGTGGGCATGAGAGGAATAGGGACATCTTGGTTTTGAGGGAAGTAAGAAGAAGAGGAAGGAAAAGGGTAGGATGCACCTGAGGGAGTGGACGGTGCAGAAGGCGCTGCGCCGGACGATTTACGCGTCTTGCCCAACCCAGAAGACGCGTATTTGGTCGGGGAAGAAGGAACGGAGGTCGTGGATAGCAAGGGGCTCTGTAGGAAAGAGGGCACAAAGATGGCTTGGAGTGAACCGCGTCTTTTCTTGGCCATGGCAGAGTCTACTGATTTGAGAGTCGTGTCTTTTACTGATTTGGACTTTGTGGCGCGTTTAGGTGGGCGATTATTGGGATTAGGGTGTGGATTGGCAATAGGATTAGAATGTGCGTGATCAATATCAGAGAGCGGAAGTGGTTTGGGCGGCTTGGGAGTAGAAAAAAAGAATTGTTCAGCCGCGTCGTCGCCGTCGTCGTAATAGTAGTCGTACAGGTCAGCGAAAAAATCCTCGCTTGCAGTTAGACTGGACCTGGTAGTCTTAGAAGTGGGCGCTGCGGAGGCCGCAGTGGTGCTGGAATTAAAATCCAAGCTAGGGTAATGTTGAAATCCGATTTCGGCTTTCCCTGCAACACGAGTCTGCTTGGAACCGAGCAAACATGCATCAGCGTGAGTGATTACGGAAAAATATAGAAAAAAAAAGTGAGAGAAAGTAATGAGAGCTTATGAAACGCTATTTGATGCTGACAAGTGTTGACAGCAGGCAAAAGCCAGGAACATGGGATGACGACATGTCGGGTCGCTAACGCGCACCCAAATTGGTTTGGGTGCGCGTTGCAACTCTCTCAGAATGTAGAAACACGGACTCACAAAGGGAGGTTCCTCGTCCTCTGCCAAAGATTCCTTGGAACGAGCAAGTCGGTCCTTAGGGGGATCTCTCACGAGAACAACGCTCTGCGCTTTGAACGGTAAAACCGGTGTGGGTGGTACGCCGTAAGTGGATCGTTTCCTTGGTCGAGGTGGAGGTGGCGTGGGTGGGTGCGAGGGCGAAAAGAAGGAAGGACTGTGCTCGCCAGACCGAGTTGTTGAAGGTGGTGGTACAAAAAGAGGGTGCAAATGACGAGGAGCGATCGTTCTTTCCTCCACATGAGCCCCGCCGGACATCGTCATCAAAAAGTATTGGTTATTCGTTATTTTTTCGTGGTCTGCGTTGGTATGTCCGATCTTTTTGGACCAGTAAAAGAAAAGAATATTCCAGGATGTTTCTTTCGTGTTCCTTTTGATTCCTTCCCGGACGTCCTTTCCGTCCAAATTCCTAGTCCCTCGGGTAGAATGATTTAATTATCGGTCTCTCTGTGAAATTCATCGGCGCCGATTATTATTAATCTTCTCTTCGTTCGGAGGAAAAAAGAAATATGGGGTCCGAAAAAATACACACCTAAAGGGAGAACAGGAAAAAAGGTTGGCACACGATCAGATCCGGTGGTAGTCCGGGGTATTTTTCCAGATTTTTCCGCGTCGTCAGTCGTGACTCGTCGACGTCACGCTTTCCGACGACCAAGTGCGCACCTCGCGCAGGCTAAATGGATAAGGCGGGGAGGATGAGGAGGACGGGGAATACAATGGTGATGGTTGAAAGAAAGAAAAAAGAAAGGATGGGCGGGATTCATGTATGTAATGTTCGCCTTTAGGAATGCTTGGCTCATCAATCCAAATCCGTCAAGTCCGGACTGATCGACATTCAAAAGACGGCCGGCGCCATCTTTCTCCCTGTTACCATCCACAATCTACCCAATTGAAAGGCGTTGAATTCACAGAACATTCCCTCTTGAATACATACATGCTGGCGGAACAAAATCGCACAGCCAATCCCTGTGTTAGCGTGGCCTGCATTAATTGTTTATCTACCTACACGTGGTGGTAACTCTCAAGACTCAATCACCCAACAATTCGCCATCCGAAATTGAAGGGAATCATACGCCACGCTCCTATTTCATCCTTGATTGCAACTGTGTGCATATGCACATCTAGTCCCAAGTCTCCTACTCATCTTCTGTTCACCTGTTGTGTGTTTAAAGTTCATATCTCACCGGGACCGCTCTGAACTATCCACGTACTCGGCACCAATATTAGGACTCTCTCGTCTAAAATGAGTCTTATTTCTGGGAACCTATGCTCTACATCTGGATCCATCATCGCTTTCTCTTCGCCGGCCTCTATGTTCTTTTTTCTGTACGCACCCTGGGAGTCGGGACCGGCTGCTTACACTATCGTTCCTCCACGCTCCAAGTTGAGCTTCCTTGCGCCCGTGGATTTACAGTGTGAACTGCTAATCAGAATGAGAAAGAACCGCCGCCGATGCACGCTGTTTGAAATTCGATTTCAGTATAGGCTTCTACCCTGTCTATGAATACTACTACGCTGTAAACTTTCGACGGCAAGGGGAAGGGTAATATCCAGTCTATCCCAAAGTACTAAAGACATAATCAGCGCTGGCCTTCCGTTGCCTGCCGCATTTCTGACTTGGCGCTGTAATAGGGATCTGCTAGCTGTCTCGTTTCTCATCGCTTGATAAACGTCTAAATTAAATGGATAATCAAGAATCAAGGTTCAATCACGATGCTTTCTCATGCACGTCCACCCGTACCGTGTACGGACCGCTTCTCCAGGTATCCGAGTGTCTATGCAGTACGGTTCCAAAGTTTGACCAAAACATGTTGTATCATGATGGCTGCATAGCTTGATTTGTGTAGTTGTCAACCTTCACTTCACCGCGGCAAGATTATACCGTCCTTCCTGGCAAATTTTTCCTACATCAAAAACCGCACAAATCTCCTCTGTAGATTTCTCCTTAACTTCCAAGAATTCCTGGGTAACCGGATTCCGGTGAGCCCGTAAATATTTGGACTGAGCGCATGAACTCTACCGGCGTCCGGGCCAGGAGGTCAAGAGCTTGGGTTCACCACTTCCAATATTAATACCCGTCTCACCATTCTTTTTTCACGCCTCGACGACCCTACATACTCTGACCTAGTAACTATCCTATAATATGCCGCGGACCCAGGAGCATGGCCATTTTCAATTTATGCACTGGGCTTTTAGGCTGTGCATCTCAACCGCTAGGGATCGTTTCCAATGCTATGCTAGTCCCTGTGACCCAGGATAACTTACTGGCTATGCCAACCAATCTGCTTGAGGATAGTCTCACCAACGTCCGTGCCGGGCGACCAAGAGCTGAGGTCCACCGCTCAGTCCCCAATATGAATTTCATTTTTTATCACTCCTCGACGACCCTACATATCCTGACCCAGCAAACACCCTATAATATATGGTGGAACCAGGAGCGTATGGATTAAAAACGGTCTCATTTGACATTTGGGCTCAAGGGACCTTTCATGTTTCTAAGTGCACATATTCGATATTGGGCGGAATCTTTTAAGCTAGAATTGACTTACTGGCTATTCCAACTAACACTCCTCCGCATCCGTTGAGAATATTACATTGTAAAAGAGTACCGAGGTCCCACCCGGTATTTCATTTCATTTCGGTCTCTTACGGGCACTGATTTGGATTTGGTGTGACCTAACTATGCGCTTGTAAAGGAGGACCGTAAAACCAACAATTTGGCGCGTATTTCACCAGATATCGAGTAAGTCTTGAGGATCTTGAAGAATACCTACCCGCATTTTGGATATGGGTATGGCCTTTGCAACGACGTAGTTTATATAATTAATGAAGCCCATCTCCTAAAAGACAGTAGACCTTGTCCGTTTTTATTAATAGGGTACAAACTCGACAATTCGGACCAAATTTACATAAAACAAGCGCAGATAGACGCCCACAATTTAATTACGATTTTCGTTCTGGAGATCCCGGATCTTAGATAAGGGTCGAGGTCAGAATACTCCAGCCTCTAGAACACCTGAGGTGCTTAAAAACGAAAATTTTCAACGGCTCGTAAACTCCATATGTATATCCGCCTTTTTTACGCATCACTTTTCTACATTCTTCGATCAAGTATGACGTCCCGAGCGTCCTTAATTATATGGATGTCGATCCCGATGTCATTCTTAACAACATCCGTGCCGCGTTGGAGTAGCTAAGGGCAATATGCGAGGCTCGACTCCTTATCTTGCACTGGAAGTCTCTATTGAATTTTACTGGTTACGACATAATTGACTCTCAAGTTGGAATTATTACGAGCCTAGGGCACCGTACCTTATACCTCTATAGGATGACGCAGACTCTGGCAATATTAATATGTTCTCCGTCTCCATGCCTTCCATATGTTCTGGCTTTTGGGATGTCCACTTCCAGCCATACCTCGATGTCATTGAACATGAAGTTTGCAACTGCAGTTAGACCCTCTCGTCAATACGTAAATCAAGCTTACAGACCATCGGGTAAGTCCTTTTGCTCATTGGAACCCTCCAATTAAGAATGGCAGCGAGGCAAGCTTTACTTGTCTTACTAATGTGCAGCTTTAGTATAGCCTACGCCGGAAATTTACTTCGATCGTTGAAAGGTATATAAGGGCTGCAATTAAGGACCTTTCACTTATTAGACTAATGCTGTTTTGACAAGCCTCATCAGAGGAGGATATACACTACCAAACCGTGGACAACTAGTTCAACTTCTGATCTATCTTGGGAGCGGCTCTGTTCCGACCTTCTATCTTTGGATAACAGTGGGAGCAAATGAGACTCCTGGAGTTTCACTCGAGTCCTCCCCACTATGTAGGCTTCATATCGTGCCATGATATCATCAATTCGGAGGGAATACATGGTGAGATGGCCGAGCGGTCTAAGGCGCCAGACTAAGGATCAGGATATTTCATGTCCACAGCGGGTTTCTACTCTGCAATCTGGTCCGAAAGGGCGTGGGTTCGAATCCCACTCTCATCACTTCTTTTTGAAGCTTCCAGGCTCTTTTCCGGTTCAAAAATCGTCCGAAACGGACCAGGAGGAGCAGAGGCCGGGAAATGAGCTTTTATATAGTATTTTACTCGAATAACATAAGGGTTGTTGAAAATTTCACTGGAATACGTTAGGATATCATGTTATCTATCCTCTCCAGAGTTTCCGACCCAAGGGAATCTTTTTCTGCCTCGTTCCCGACGTTTTTTTGGGCTTGATCCCAGCGAGGAATGAAAATTTAAGTCACCGGGCCGATGCGACTAATAATAGCTTGCGCGAGCACGTGATGGCATCGCGTACGCCCCTTTTTCCACGGTTGAAGTTGACCTGAACAACGAGGAGAGCCGAAATACACCGTTCAAGACTGTTCAAGACCTCAGGAAACGCAAGGTACAGCACTATTATTGGGGTAACCACAGGACAATTTCTACGATGAACAGGAACAGCACCGTTCCAAATACCCCTTCAGCTTCTAAAGCTGTTCGTCCAGCGCCATTTACGCCCAAACGCCCTTTATCTGCGCAGTCGAATTCATCGACGGCGAGTGCGTCTTCTGCGAGTGAAGACTCACTCACAGCTCGTTTGTCGCGCGTGAATACTCCTATCTTGCTCAACTCGACCCGCAAGAAATATAAAGCACCGCTCTCTGTCGAATCACGCCCTGTAAAGCATCATAGCTCTTCTTCCATCTCTTCTTCAGGTCCTTTTAAACCCAAATCCACCCTCGCTCCAGTACCGGGCACACCGACGAAGAAGGAAGGTGGAACGCCAAGTCGTCCTAGGACACCCAATACCCCTAGGCCTAAAAGCAGAAATGGGGCTGAAAGTCCCTCATTGATGCGTGCTACGAGCGAGATGGATGTCAGCGTCGTCGATCCTGAGCAGGTTCTTGTGGACTCACAAACTGTCGAGCCCGGAGACATCAGTGGTGAGATTGACGAGGCCTTGTTAAGAGCTATTGAGCTTGACCACGGCAAGGAGGATAAAGTCATGGTTTCGATAAGGTGATTTTGTCGTCTTTATTTCCTTGATCAATTGCTGAAGCTATTGCCAGGATACGACCGACAGATTCCACTTCAGCATGGATTCCAACAGCCGCCCAATTCCCTGAAACTCGACCCGGCCCTCTCTAAGCATGCCGGCACTTCATCATCCTCTTCCAACCCAAATAATTCCTTCACATTCGACGCCGTCCTCACAGGAACTCCCAACAAACCTATATATACCACCGTCGCCAAGTCGCACGTCCAAGCCGCCATGGAGGGATACAACGCTGTCATATTTGCCTACGGCCAAACGGCCTCTGGCAAAACCTATACCCTCACAGGTGACGATACTGAACCTGGTATCATTCCCCGTGCTATGCGGGATGTATTCGGGTTTATCAAACGCACGCCCGAGAGGGAATACCTGCTGCGGTGCAGCTACTTGGAGATATACAACGAGACAATTGTAGATCTGTTGGCGCCACCAATGATGGCCAAAGCCAACCAGGTACAGATCCAAGGTGGCGCAGGCGGTGATATCATTCTCGCCCCGCTAAGAGAGGAGGTTGTGACAAGCCTCAAAGGTGTCAAAGACGTGTTGAAGAGGGGAGAAGGTAATAGGAGGACAGCATGCACCGATTGGAATGAAAGGTCCAGTCGAAGTCATAGCGTCTTCCGCCTTGTCGTCGAGAGCAGGGAACGAGGAGCTCCTGTTGGCTTGGACGACGATGACGACGATGAGCCTAGTACTGCGAGCCCCGCTGCGGCTAGTGGAAGGCAGACGCCTTACAGCGGGCGACAAACTCCAGGGGGAAGACAAACTCCTGGATTGAATGGACGTCAAACACCTGGGTTGGGTGGGCCGAGGTTGCAAGCTCGAGGAGGGAGGAGCGTGCAGACCTCTGTGCTGGTGATTATTTCCCTTTCAAAAATGTTTTAATCTCGAATGTTGTGCTGACATTGCGGCATTTCGAACAGAGTCTCATCGACCTTGCTGGATCTGAAAAAGCGACCTCCGATAAGGAAAGGACTAGAGAAGGAAAATACATCAACACCAGGTCAGACATTTCGTGTGCCATCGAGAAAAAAAATACTGACCATCTATTTTATCTCCCCCAGTCTTTTAACATTGGGCACAGTAATCGGTACGCTAGCAGACAACGCCTCAAAGAACAAATCCGACCACGTTCCATACCGCAACTCCAAATTGACCAGAATGCTGCAGCCCTCCTTGTCAGGCAATGCAAGGATCAGCGTCATTTGCACTATCAACCCCGACCCGGGGGCTATTTCAGAAAGCATGAGCACGCTGTTGTTCGCGAAGAGGATTAAGAACGTACAGGTATGTTTTTTCTTGGTTTCCTTTCAGGTGTCTTTGAGCTGATATTATGTTGCTTTTAGCTCCATGCGAAGAAGAAGGAAGTTGTCGACACGGATGCTCTTATTGAGAGATACCGCAAAGAGATCGAAGAGCTCAAATCCCGTTTGGCGGAGAGAGAAGCAGAGGCACCCGTCCGCAATCGTCGCCTCTCAGCTCGGGAGGTGTGTACCCTTCTGCAGCCTTGGAGGCTTGGGATTTAAAGTTAACGCCTTTCCTCTTTTCTCTTCAAGCAAATCGACGAGTCGAAAGCCATGCGCGACCTCAACGGGCGCATCCAACAACTAACCAAGCTCATCCTCACCAGTGCAACAGTGAAAGAATCACAATCTGACGAGAATAGCAATGAAGAGGCCTCCAGTCCCGTCAAAATCGACTTTGACATGTCGCCATATCAACTCCAACAAGAGCTCCTCTCTGCACGGCTCACTATTGAGTCGCAAGCCCAGCAGATCCTCTCTCTCGAATCTTCCCTGCTCGCGCGGCCCCCTCTTCCTGCTGATGCGAGTGAGGGCGAGAAGGATCAGCTAATCAAGGAGCAGGGAAAGACGATAAGGGAGCTGGAGATTGTTGTTAGGGGGTATGAGGAGAACCTTGGCGAGCCCCTGAGGAAGGTCAAGGAGGACGTGGAGAAGGAATGGGAGGGCAAGGTGGAGGAAGAGAGGCAGGCAAGGGAAAGGAGTGAAAAGTGGGCGGAGGAGTTGGTTAAAGCGTTGGAGAAGGAGAAGAAGGTTGGTATCTTTTTAGTTTTTTTTTATTTCATTTTGTCGATGGTTTGATGCTGATGATCTTGATTCAATTCGTAGGTCCGACAGACCCTGGAAGAGGAGCGCCGCGCACTCGCAGCGTTCGTGTCCAAATTTGACTCTCTGGGACTAGGAATTTCACTACCCGTCTCTAAACTTCGTCCGCCAATGCCAACATCCGGAGGGGCAATGACAGCGTACGAACGACGGCAGTCACGCAATTTTTCCAATCCCAGCATTAACCGCCTGCCGCGCATATCCGACGCGACTATCACTCAGGATTTCACTGGTACCTCCATCTCCGTAGCTGCTGAAAGCAGCCCTATGCGGTTTGATAACAGGGCAAACGTCCATCTAGAGGGTCAACCTAGCTTGTTTGAGCAGGCGATGCCGGAAGAGGTTGCGGATATTAGCTTTGATGAGCTCGAGGTAGAAAGGCAGCTTTTGGAGCCGTCTGTTTATGCGCAGCAGGGGAGTGGGGGCGTCGAAAAGCTCTTTGCGGCTGTGGAAAAGGGGAAAGCGGATGTGAATGTTAAGGCGAGGGATGTGTTTGGAGATAAGGAGAATATCTTGCCTTCTGCGCTTAAAGCCTGAGGTTGAGATTGAAGTTGCTTGCCGGATGGATCGTAGCAATGACGTTTGTAGAGCTTGGCTGGTCAGGCTGCTGTTGTTAAAGACTGTGTTCCATTTTCTGCTTTCTGTATTCTTCTTTTCCGCTGGATGTTGTACCTCCTTTCCTCTTCTGCTCTTTGTTGTCGCATCATTTGCTGTGTTTTTGCTGTTGCGTACCATTCATCATATTAGTTTCACGTGGTCACCAAGAAATCGCCTGTTGTCGAATATCCACCCCGCTTAAAATTTACCTGAATATAATTTATTTTCTTCTTTTAAATGTCAACGTGCACTGGGACGAAGAGACGGATCAGAAGCAAGAAGTTCATAGTTGGATTGTCAATTCATAAATACATGTGGGCAGCGGTGACAATTCGTGGTGTTACAAGTTATATCTTTGATGAGTGGGAATCCAGATTTTCGTTGGCCGGTATGCGTGTTTCACTCCTTGAAGAGCTTGTGCTTCTTGTGCCATTCCTCCAAAGACAGCTCGCCATAGTCCTCATATGTCTGCTTGCGACCCTCGGGAAGGCGGACGTAGGAAGGTTTGGAATTGAGCTTGACGCATACCTGGCCGACGTCAAGCAAAAGAATCAGCATCCGAAGGTCGGATGGGATGTAAATTAAGAATGGATCTGGACGCACCATGGTCTTGGGCGACTCTAGCTCGGGAGAATCGATGGCGGAGGCGAATGGATGGATCAGCTCAGGCCTGGAAAAGTCTAGATAAGGTTTGCGAGGTTGAGCTATATTCCGTAGAATCTTACCAAGTCTCATCGTAAAGCCAGAGCATGGCCGAACATTTCTTGCAAAAATTTCTCTCCGACGAGGCGATCCTCTCATCGGGGTGTCGCGGTCCAATACGGCCTTGTAAACACTACAGTCATTCAGATTAAACCCAAATCAGAACAATCAAGCCACGTAGGTAATCGAAACCATACCTGATATTCTCCTTTCCCTCAATCTTCAAAGTTTTGCTGTGGCCTCCGAGATTAATGAACCACCCACTCCGCCTACTTTGCGACAGATCGAGCACAGGCAAAGCTAAAATTAAAAGAAAGGCCGAATCAAGCCCAACCAATAACGTTGACATTAGCGAAGACAGAGGGCCGAGCAAAGTCAACAACAGCTCTTGAGAAATCCGAAGCAAGGGCGAAACCGACCTGGTATGGCACCGGCGTGCTCGACTGCAAAGTGAACCTGACGGCTCCGCAGTGACAGCTTCCTTTCAACTCGACAGGCATTGTTGAGGTCGAAAAAGACCGA